CGGGAGTTCCATCTAAGGTGGCTTTCTTTATGTGGACAGTGGCCTCAGGTCAGAATCTCACAATTGATAATTTGGTTCGACGTGGTCATATTTGAGTTAATCGGTGTTGTATGTGTTATGCTACTATGGAATCGGTAAATCATCTATTTCTACATTGTCCTGTGGCTTCTCGTTTGTGGGGCTCATTTGTTCCCTTTTTGGGATTGTATGGGTTCAGCCACATAGGGTGATGTATGCTTTGGAGTTGGCGTAGGGCTAGGGTTGGGCATCGTCAAAGACATGTTTGGTCTTTGGCGCCACTTTGCTTGATGTGGTTAGTTTGGTTAGAGCGGAATAAGCGAACTATTCAAGAGGTTCAACATAGTGTATCTTGGTTAGAAAGTCGTCTCGCCTTTTACTTGTTTTGTATAGTTGATTGGAGAGGAAGATAGATCCGGATATGTTTGCTTTTTTAGATTTCTTGGTTGATGTTATTGGTTAAGGGTTGGTGCAGTGTTTTAAAAACCTCCAGGCGCACCGAGGTGATAAGGTCTCCTATAGCCTAAGCACAAGGCTTGAGGCGAGGCGCACATAGTAAAAGCAAAGCAAAATTATAAAATAGGCAAATTTTTTAACATAACAAATATATGTAATATATTAAAAATATAATATCCAACAAAAGGTATAAAGTATCACATCCACATCCACATCCACATCCACATCCACCAAAAATTTTATGGACAAAGATCATCCACATAAAATTAATAAACACATATCATTAAAATTAATAAAAAAAAATTATTTTTATAAACTAATCATCAAAATATATATACATGTATATACATGTATATATATATATAAAATAAAAGCCAAAAAAAAATTGAAGAGAAAAATAAAAAATAAAATAGGAGAGAGAGAGAGGGGGGGTTAGAATCAGCCAGCATAAAAAAAGAAAAAAAAGAAAGAAAGAAAGAAAAGTCAGAGAGGATAGGACATAGGACAGAACAGAAGAAAGAGAGAGTAACTGAGAGACAGAGGAAAGAAGAAGAAGATCGAATGAAGAACAAGAAGATCGAAAGAAGAAGAAGAGAATCGAGCATTGACCAGCAAGTAGCAAGTAGTAACCAGAGAGCAATCAGCAGCAAGCAAGCAGAGACCAACAAAAGCAATAGCAGCAACGAGAGGAAGAAACGAGAAGCGCATGAGGCGCTCGCCTCGAGCCTCAACATAAAGCGCTCGCCTTATCGCCTCGATTGCACCTCCTCTATGTCGCCTTACCTCGCCATGCATGAGGCGCAAAGCTGCGCCTCGCCTCGCCTCGCCTTGAGCTTAGGCACGCTTTTCAAAACACTAGGTTGGTGATTCCCTAATTGGGAATGTTTTGTATTCTTTGTATCATCTTGATGTTTTCTTAATAAAGCTTATGTATCCAAAAAAAAAAATGAGTAATCCTAGCCTTTGAAAATCTAGGCTTCTAACTCTTAAAAATTGTCTATATTTAGAATTCTAATTTCTAAATCCTAGGCATTAGAAGTTAGAACTGTTGTTGTGAAAGGCATAAATATAGTCAGCTCAACAGGAAAGTCCACTAACAGTTGTAACACACAAATACACAGGACTGAAGAAAAAGATACAGAAAAAGCTCCTAAAACTACTATATATTACCGGTGGGGTCTCTAGCATAAGCATCAATGGTCGCAGCATTTTCCACTTTGTTCTTTCTTTTCACCATCTGAGTGTAGCAGCTGACTATTTGCTGATCAAGTTCGTAGTAGTGCTTCATCTGCCTGACAGTTTGTCTTCACCCAGATCTCTACATGCTATACAAGGCTGAGAAACAACATCATAATATGCATGAATTGCCCCTTCTATGTCAAAGATATCAAGCTTTTGGACTTCAAGAAGCCGATCTAGTAACCCTGATCGGGAAACAGCTTCAGTAACAAGTTGCAGGAAATTCGTTGTACGTAAGCCATCATCTGCCTGAATAACACACTTGAGTACATCTTCGAATGCATTACCAATCATACAACTAGTAATATCTGCCCCACCACCCAAGCCCCCAAATATGAGGGAACCGTTCAAGAAAACACGAAAATTGTTCTGAGGAGTGCAAAAGAGAGCCGTGATCGCTTTATGTACTCTCTCCTTGGATCCAGAGAGCATATCCAAGGGATCATATTCACTTGTATTTGATATCTAAATAAAAAGCCGAACATATTGAGCCAATACTAAAGTGAAAAATAAATAGCTAATTGAACCAAAGCCAAATATAAATGCTGATTTGTAATGCACATGAACTGAGAGATCCCTCCCATTATAGCTTAGCCTCAAAGAGAAAATAGTAAGAAAAAAAAATACCTCTCTTTGATGCAATTTCAATGACTGGTGCATTTTAAAACGAGTTATTCTCTTTTTAATGGCATTTTCTTTAGATATGAATCTTGAATCTGGAAGAAATCCACATTTGGGCTGTATTTTAGAAACAAGAAGAAAGTGAAGGCAAAAGAAAACAAGTAGCATATTAGATTGTTATGGCAAAAACCAAAAAGCAGAAAAACCAAGATGTTGATTGAGGAAACACACCTTTATCTCAACAGAGATGCTGAATTTCCCTTTAAGATTACCTGGACAGAAAAAGAAATCATAATACCACTCATATAAAAATGTAATTAAGAAAAGTAAACTAGTTTTCAACATTAAGCAATGGAAAATTTACTACTTTAAAATCAAACTAGCTATTTCTGTATATATTATACAAGAACTTTTCAACACAAATATAAAAAATTAAAAAAGAAAAGAAAAAAGAACTAGTTTCCAACATTTCATGAAATCATGTGCTTGCATATTCTCGCATGAAGACACAAGTCATGTCTTCCTAAAGCACATTGTAATATGATTAATAAAAAACTAAGTCAAACTTGCAAAAACTGTGAAACTTAATTCCACAAGGCCCATTCTAGATAAAAAAAAAACAATATATTCTATTATTCCCATAGCCCACCAAGCCAGAAATCCACTTCGAGGGGGGTAACCTATTGCTAATATGCCGGAAAATGTTCAACAACTATAAAACAATTAAGAAACAAAACACATAAATTTCAATTGAAACACAAGTCTCTCGCACAAAATTATTTATGAAATTTCCACATGGATTAATAATTAAAATTAAAAAACAAGAGTATTTATTTTTTATAAAAACATCTAACAATTATGTGATAAAAATTATTCAATACCTTAGAAGTAATCACATTGGTAGTTCAAAATTCTCTACCACATGATGAATTACAATAACCAAGTACCAGAATAAACTCCTAAGCCCAATATTAAATAGATTTTGGACAAGAGGCCATGTTTCTTGCATCCTAGCATGACACTGACTAAAAGTTGGAGATATCACTTCAAAAATTATGTCTTACAGAATTTGCCTTCTATGGTGCAAGGAGAAGATCTTATTTGAAAGTTCTCAGGAGATAGTAATTACCCTGGGGAAGATCTTATTCAACTGGCCTTTAGTTTGCCAAATAAGTTTTTTGTGTTTTTTCTGAAAGATGAAAACAGAAAATAGAAGGATCATTTCTTACTATTTCATGAACTAAAATGAAAACACAGAAAACAAAACATATTCTAGTAAAATTGAAAACATAAAACAAAACAGAGGTAGAAAAAGAGAAATTATAGCAAAATGATTTGGTTGTATGGTTTCTTGATTTTTACCATGCAACGAACTAAAGGCCAGTTGACACCCTTGAAGAAAGGATGTCGCTTAATTTCATTAGCTCCTTCGCAAGAACCCAATCTGTTTTTGGGATCTCTGTGCAACAACCGGTACATTAACTGCTTTGCTGAGAGACTCACCTGCACCACCACGCACAAAAGTTATTCCCGTGCTGCAGCATTTGATTTTTTTTTTTAAAAAAACAAAACTATGTGAAAATTCAACTAATTCCAACAAATTAATTTCTATCCACATTATGTGTGTAAATTTAGGAAGTAATTGTTTAAGTAGGCTTGTACCGTCATAATCAGACACCATAATTAGGTTCTGTTAAAAAGAAAACAGTTGAAAGTATCATAAATTAGAAAGTACTTGAATGAAGATGGAGGATCATCTCACCGATATAGCGCCTGGGAATTTAAGATCCTTATGAAGAATGTTGGCAAATGTCTTTTGCCTTGTCTTTCCCCTAAATGGTGTGTATCCATATAGCATTTCATAGAGCAGAATGCATTTCATACAGAGCAGAATGCCCATTCCCTGCTTCAAAAGTGTAGTTCTCATCATTTGATTGTTGGAATCTACCCTCAATTATAATTCAAATACATAAATTTAAGTACATACACACACTCACAAACATACAGAGAGAATCTAAAAAGACAATACCAGCATTGCCGTGGCTGTCTCTCTTGAGTTCCCATCAATACGAAGCACAGTGCTGGCCTCACTGTAAAACTGGTGAACAAAATCTAGTTGCTGCTGAAGTACCTGGAAATACTGCCCAACAAAGTACGTCCCAACCTGAAATCCAAAGACCTATCTTTTTAGAGAGAGAGTGAATATATATATATATATATATATAGAGAGAGAGAGAGAGAGGACCTGAGCAGCAGTGACGGGCAGGTGAAATGGAGTAGCCATGACGAGTCTCGAGGGGCTCTAAAACCCTAGAGCTCCAATCAAACCCTAGGTCGGCAATGCGGTGGCGAGTCCATCGTAATCGTCATCGTCCTCCTCATCATTCACGCTCTCCTCTAAATTGTCCTCACCATCATCTTCTCTATTACTCCCGTGAATCAACCTATCTTCTCTCCTTCTCTTGCTGCGACTCGATCGATTTCGATCCCGGTCCCTGTCTCGATCCCGATCCTTCTTCATTCAACTGGTCTATCTTGCTCTAAAAAATTATCAAAATCAGAATCAAGAAAAACAAAAAATCGTCAAGAAATTTCAACCAAATCGATTCAAGAACCGATGGATCTGAATCGATAGAACTCCTAATCGATGGATCTGAACAAGTAATCGGAATCGAACCTGGTGAATCTCTCAAGAAGAATGAGGAGAGACAGAAAACCCTAGATCTTGGACGGTGACAGAAAATGAGAAGAGAGAGAAATGAAGAGAGAAAGCAGAATGAGAGAATGAGAAATGGAGACAGAGGGAGACGGAGCACGTTATAAAGTGGAATGCGTGTCTTTTAATTTTATTTTTTGTCTTCTACAACGTTTTTCAATAAATGTTGTCTAACAAACGTGGTTATAGGCAACTATTCTTGTAGTGTTGGAAAACAAGACAAAGACTACAGATCTACAATTGTGTCTATACTCTCTCTCTCTCTCTTTCTCTCTAGAATTTGGCGGCCATACTTGGAAGCTTCAACAGCAAAGTCGTCTTTCTAGGAAGCAATCTGGTAAGAAAAATGGAGCATTAAGACTATACGGCTCCTTCGTCAGCAATACCACGCGCTAACATAAGGAACATGATCTAATTGCTCAGTAACTTCCCTCCGCAAGCTTCGATGTCTTGTATTTGGCATATTTTTACTCACGAGACAAAGGATGTCAAAAGTTAAACAATCTTTTGAAGACCCATGCAGTCATTCATGTGTTGAGAAAAGAGAAACGACTTGCCGAAATTACACCAAACAACCAAATCGCACCTTTGTCACTAGGGCCATCAACAATTATAATACTCAAGAATGGCGCAAATACAATGGCTCACCCATGTCGACCACAGCTAGGCAACTTAAAAGAGTAGTTCACGATTCGATACATGCCACCCTTAACCAAGAACGAATATCAAGATCGTAGTTGAAGCACGGGGTTTTAAGGATTTGGTTGCGTTGCCGATGGACTCTACTAAAGTGCCAAGCGAATCTTAGAGACGAACCTAAATTCATGGTTATTAGTCACTACGCAATGGAGCTGAACTACATCATCAGGCTCAACAGACCCATGCACGATCATTTAAATGCCGATAGCCGAGCAACCAGCCATGCAAGAGCTGAGATTCTAAACAATGGTGACAACGGGATGAACGAGCAAGACCCTCGCATTTATCTTGATTTCGGCTTGGCGACCTGCTCCTCAACCTCTATCATCTTTTCGGCAAAAGAAACAAAATGATTCATCCAAAAATCACACATCAATAATTGATTGCTACCATATTGCGGTTCAATGACAACCTTAACCCTCATTTATCAACTCGGCACTTGAACCACATTCACGGCATCTAACTTTTGTGCAACTACAACACCAAAGATGACGCTTTCTCAAAGGATTGCCACCACGCAATACAACAATTCTCGAGCCAACTATAACTTTTTTTCTTTCTCTTTCTAGAATAAAAGTCTTTCCATATCAATGATAAGCCAAAAACAAGCATCGTCGAGCACATGCAAATCACAAGAGCTTGCTCATTCCAACAACATTAAAGCCCTAGCAAATAACATGGTGAATTAGTTTTGTGAAACACAATTGAAGAATGTCTCGTTTAGGAATCATTTCAACAATCGAAAACTCTACAACTTACTCTTCCAAAACACACCTCGGATACTTAAGTTAAATTGGCAACGCCACAAGCACTATATATGTTGCGGCTCAATAACAAATAATCAATTGCAAACTTGCCTCAACTTTAGTTTGGTCGTGGTGACGTCATCGTCTGCGTGCAACGGCACAAAAGCAACATGCAGCTCGAAGATCTTCAACTGGATCATTTTTTCTCTCTCTAGAAATGTTCTCAGCTAAAACTAACAAGAATAATTGCTGATTAAAGCTTCACACCGCATAACTTTAACCCCACAGCATGAACCAATGCCAAATTGTGTATGACAATGTTGAGAAGATGATAACAACATATTCACCAAGAACAACAACGATAAACCAAGACGTAGGTTCAACAATATTGGGTTTCTGTAGTGTTTTTGCTGTGTTAGCTTGGGTAATGTCTGCATTCTTTTAATCTGTGTGTTGTGTTAGCTCTGAATCTGTGTGCTGCTGAATATCTGAGGCAGGTGTACAGATGTGTGTATTGAAGTTTTGGGTGTTGAAACTCTGAAGGGTGGTTGATGTAATGTGAAGCTCTATATCTGTGTGGTGTAGTTCTGTTGTTGTTCTGAAGGGTGGTGGTTTCTGATCCAAGGACAAAGGTGTAGTCATTTGGTTCCAGGGGAGTTGTGTCAAGTGCTGTGTAGTCTGGGTTTGGGTGATTTCATCTAGCTTTGCATCTGTGCAAATTTGAAGCATATCTGTTGTGGATTCAAGGGTGAGGTGCCACATGTTGTGTAGTCTGCTAGCTCTGGGGTCTGATCTATAAATGTTGTGTACTCTGATGCCTAGCTTTGGTGACTGATCTAAATTAGCTATGTTCCTTTTATCTGCAGTTTGGGTGTAGCTTGGTTGGCCTGCTATTTTGTTAGCTATGGTTGCCTTTCTTTTTTCTGTTTTTTTGTTTTGTTTGTTGGTTTCTTACCAACTGGCGCTTGGAGTTTCTGTTAGCTCCAACCTCCTCTTTATTGATGTTCTGTATCTTTTTTGGTCACTTTCATCAATAAAGATTTTCTTTACCGATCAAAAAAAAATATTGGAGTACTACAAATTCGCATGTCCATCTTCTCGGGGCTGAAAGAATAATGACAAGCCAAGACTTGGTCCCAAAAACAAACGAATTATTTGTGTCATACAAGGTGGCTCACACAATGCCGATGATTGTATACAAATTCTGTTGAGAACACAATTTTGACTAACGTGGGAGCCTCAATGGTAACGCAACTCCACCAAAGTGATGCTCTGCCGAAGGAGAGAAGCTTTTACTCGACGATGTGACATCGTTCACCAACAACATAAACTCATTAACTACAGTTTTGTGATAAGATCAACTCAAATTTCGCCCAAGGTTAGTGAAGAATAGTTACCGTAGTTCGCCGAAACTGACAACATTCACCCTGCCAAAGAACTCATCGGCTCGTCAAAGAATATTTACATTGCCGAACTAGAACTCTTAAGACCATACTAGGGGCAACTCACAACATCCAAGAAGAACCCAATACAACATACAATACAACTACCTGCGACATTACTGACACAGCCTAATATGACTAAGATTCTCCATAATGTCATGCACTGATTCAACAAGTTTTGTGAGTTGATTTCAACTAATTTAGTGACTTTTTTTTTTCAAAAAAAAAAAAAAAATCTTAATTGGCATTATTAACTGAATCAAATTGAAACAAAATTTAAAATTAAAAGTAAAAATCAAACTAATTGAAATGATAGGGATCAAAATAACATAAAAAGAACAACGTAAAGAATCGACAGTCGATAATAACCTGCACAATATATAACAATTCGTGAGTTTAAATGGGCAAATGATATATAACAATTTTGATAACATCAAGGTAATAATTCACTATCAGTTGATTCAATTCTCATGGGTAGTAGTACCCCCATTTTACAAGCTGATAAATAAGTACTCCCATTTTACAAAGAAACAGAAGGAAATTATTATGTTGTACAATGATATATTTCTTTCAAATGTATTCCAAATTTATTAATACAAATTGTGGATACAAACATAGTTCTATGTGTATTTGGTATGTTTAAACATAATTGTATCTTGGAAATAATGTTCGCAACATTAAAATACGAAACTACATCTAAGTTTTGTACCTTATAGTTTGTATATTTAGCTTTTCTTTGTCAATGTCGCTAACATTATTCATATGTTTGTGTATTTTTATCACTTATAAAGAAAAACTTCAACAAAAGAGATATACTTGGTGCTTGTATGGAAATGAACCAATCATGTAGACACCATGTTTTTGTGCTCAAATCTCATTCCCTATCGTTGTCTATAATGTAAGAAGCTGGGCCTTGTCCTTTGCATTTATTTCCTGTAATCATCGGTTAATTATATCTTTTACACATCACTAACATTAGGAAGTGGGCTTCTCCATCAATTTCTAATAAAAAATATGTTTGACCAACTTTTTTAGAAATTTTTTTGGATACAACTTACATTTTAAAGAACACTAAAAGACAAAATAATCTTCACACAAAAAATATAAAAATAATGCGTTATCAAATTTTTAATTATTTTATTTCTAAAATACAAAAAAACTAAAGCCAAAAACAGAAACAATATCAAACATGCCCAAGTTTCTCAGTGTGTACAGTTAATTCATTTATCTTATTTTGTTTTAAAACTCAAATACAGTTATTGAGTTGTTTTGTTATTTGTGTTTTTATGTTTTTAGTAAAAAAAATTTCTTCATCTTTTAGTTTTGTTTTATTTTTAGATTCACCTAAATTAGATGTACTTAAAAAGTAAAAATATTTGTAAAACGGAAAATTAAAAACCAAAAACAAGAGCAAATAGACTGACAATACAGACTAATTTGTTATGCCTTATTAATAATCAAACAATTAATACATATTCTCTCATATAATTAATATCTGGTCAGTCCAAGTTTATTCAATCAGATCAGAAAATTATTAACAAATAGAATTTTTATATAGAAAACACATCCAAAATATTTGGCTTTTAGCAAATTTTAAATTATGAGGTACGATTGTGGTGTTAAAAAATTAAAATAAATAAATAAAGCATCTGGGGATGTAATTTCCATGGCCTTGGTTTAGTAACGACCCTTAAGATCAGAAGTGCCGTGAAAGTGACCTTTGCAAGTAGAGAGGCCATATCCATTTGACACAGCGGAATGTACAGGAACTAAATATCGTTCTAATAGATGAAAGGGGCTCTTGAATTCACGAGAAAAATAGAACTTTGAATCTACATGAAAAAGAAAATATCTTAATATTATTGATTGAATAAATAAAAATTGTCTTTGCCATGAGGC